TAACACATGCGTATACATGCATACATATACACACACACACACAAGGATGATCTTGAACTTCTGATCCTCTGCCTCTTTGGGTGCTCCTCTTCCTGGAGTGTGCAATCACATGACGTATTCTATGCTGGAGATAGAATGCAGGTGTATGCTTCATGCTGCCCAACCCCCAGCTCGCTTCTTTCTTTCTTTCTTCCTTTCTTTCTTTCTTCTTCCTTTCTTCTTCCTTTCTTTCCTTTCTTTTTTGAGAGAGAGAGAGAAAGTGAGAGAGCGAGCAAGCAGTGTCTCTTAGTCTTTACTGTCTTCCTTTGCCTTTCTTGTACTGGAATTAGAGTATTCTTGTTTCATGGCTTCCAGCAGGATCCCTTGTCCCCTAGACTTTCTTGTACTGTTGAGGGAAAAAGCATTGTTTTCATAGAACTTGTGTGTACTAGGGAAAGACCTAATACAGGGGTTCCCCACAACCCCGCAGTAAAAGCCGCTGAATGATGCCTGAGGCTCCCCTGGAGTGCTGTGAGGGCCTAGTTTGATATGGGCTTTTTTTTTTTTATTAGCTTTGGTGTGTGAGTGTTCACCTGAGGGTATGTATATGGATGTGTATGTATTGTGCACACAGAGTGCACAAAGGTGATCCCCTGGAACTGGAGTTGCAGCCAATGAAGGAGTTGTGGGTGTTGGCTGCCCACTGCTTGCCTCTGGTTTGCTGTTTCTGTATTTGTACGTAAGAGCTTGTCTTTAGACACCAGGCTCTCCCTGGAGAGGACGCGAGGTCTGTCTGCATCTTTGCCAGTCGTTCTTAGTAGCTTTTCTTTACCACAGAAAGATCCGTGTCCTCAGATTCACCCCGTGTACAGTGCTCTATATTCCAAGTGATTGTGTATGTGGTGCTGGGATTTAACTCAGAACCAACTTGCATCCTAGGCAAGCTCTCCACCACTGAGCTGGTTCCCAAATCCAGGCGCTAATGGCTGGAACTTGCTTTATATACCGGGCTAGTCTAGAACTCGCAGGGATCTGGCTGCCTCTGCCTTTCAAGTGCTATGGTTAAAGGCCCCAGCTACCAGGCTGGTTTTGAACTCGTGTTCTTCTTGCCTCAGCCCCCCAGGTCCCTGATACCACAGACCTACCTAGACTGGGAGTGATGGTGTCTTGTTGGCTCCTTTAAACTTCTTTAAACCCTGTCATTCCTGGGTGATGGATACTTATCACCTGGGTTGGATGTGATTTGTTTCCGTTTTGCTTGGGTGGTGGAGAACAGTAGGATTTGACCCTGTCCCGATGTCTGTGATGTTGGCTGTCGTCTGTCTATTAGTCTGTGCAAGCCAGCACCAAGGGAGGCATGGGATTGATGAATGGGGTTAGTTTAACAAACTATCTAGTGGGGCTAGGATTATAGCCATGTGCTCCTGGGAGGCTGAGCTAGGTAGGATTGATGGTAATCAATACTAACCTGGGCTACAAAGTTTCTCTATCAAATAGCTGCGTGTATCCGGTAACAAACTGTAACAAACTACCACCAGTCCGCTGGCTTAAACAGCAGTTGATTAATTCTCTGGATTTAGTGCCCAGGTTCCTCCTTGGAGCTCTGGGGAACCGGTAAGATTCCTATGGTTTCAGCAGTTCTTGGTGAGGGCCCTTGACTGCATCTCTATCTTGACTCTTGGGGCCCTGTTCTCTGGGACTGTGTCTCACAGGTCCCTACTCCTCCTTGGAGTTATGCTAAACACTTGAGTTTAAGACTCAGCTTAACAATCTTCAAAAGGGCTGGCGGTGGTGGCACACGCCTTTAATCCCAGCACTTGGGAGGCAGAGGCAGGCGGATTTCTGAGTTGGAGGCCAGCCTGGTCTACAGAGTGAGTTCCAGGACAGCCAGGACTACACAGAAACCCTATCTCGAAAAACAAAACAAACAAACAAAAAAACCAAAGACAAACAAACAAAAAACAATCGCCAAAAGCCCTGTCCAATCCAGGCTTGGTAACAGAATTAGCACTCTAGATATAGAGGCAGGGAAGGGTTAGGAGTTCAAAGCCAGTCTGCTACAAAGCAGGTTTGGGGCTGCCTGGGCTCAGTGAGACCCTAAAAAGAGATCCCACCCAGATAGTCATGCCCAGACAGGCATGGAGTGTGAGGCTTCCTTGTGTCTTCTAGGGAGACATTCCTGTTATCCTGTTCTGGTCATTTAGGCTATAGGGGACTTAGTGGCCCTTACACAGTCATCCTGAGTCAGGACGTGGTGCTGGAGAACTGAATATTACTGCTGGTCATTCCCTTTTCAGGGCAGAGTGCTCACCTTTTTCCCTCCTCCTTTCACAGGTGCTCCAGTGAACTCCCCAGGGACCAGCGATGAAGCCTCAGAGGACTCCGCCCCGGTGAAGCGGCCCCGGCGGGAGGACACTCACATCTGCAGTAAATGCTGTGCCGAGTTCTTTAGTCTCTCTGAGTTCCTGGAACACAAGAAAAGTTGCACTAAAAACCCTCCTGTCCTCATCATGAATGACGCCGAGGGGCCAGTGCCTTCAGAGGACTTTTCCAGAGCTGTCCTGAGCCACCAGCCGGGCAGCCCAAGCAATAAAGACAGTCTCCAGGAGAACAGCAGCAGCTCTGGGGAAAAGCTGGGCACGGACTCCATCCTGTACTTGAAGACAGAGGCTACCCAGACGTCCACACCCCAGGACATAAGCTATTTACCCAAAGGCAAAGTAGCCAACACCAATGTGACTCTGCAGGCGCTTCGTGGTACCAAGGTGGCGGTGAATCAGCGGAGCATGGAGGCCCCCGCGGCGCCTGTGCCCGTGCCTGTGACTGCTGCCCACGGCATCCCGTGGGTCCTGGAGCAGATCCTGTGCCTGCAGCAGCAGCAGCTCCAGCAGATCCAGCTTACGGAACAAATCCGAGTCCAGGTGAACATGTGGGCCGCGCATGCCCTCCACTCTGGAGTGGCGGGTGCGGACACTCTGAAGGCCTTGAGCAACCATGTGTCTCAGCAAGTTTCCATATCGCAGCAGGTGTCCGCTGCCGTGGCTCTGCTCAGCCAGAAAGCCTCCAACCCGGCTCTGTCCCTGGATACCTTGAAACAAGCCAAGCTACCTCATGCCAGCGTCCCCTCCACAGCCAGCTCGCTGTCCTCAGGGTTGACACCCTTCACCTTGAAGCCTGACGGGACTCGGGTTCTCCCCAACTTCGTGTCTCGACTCCCGAACGCCCTGCTACCTCAGACCCCGGGCTCGGTGCTGTTGCAGAGTCCCTTCCCCACTGTGACACTCGACCAGTCCAAGAAAGGAAAAGGGAAACCCCAGAACCTCTCCGCCTCTGCGTTAGATGCCAAGACCAAGGACGAGGTCGTCCTCGGTAAGCACAAGTGTAGGTACTGTTGCAAGGTTTTCGGGACCGATAGCTCCCTTCAGATTCACCTTCGCTCCCACACCGGAGAGAGACCTTACGTGTGCCCTGTCTGTGGTAACCGCTTCACCACCAAGGGCAATCTCAAGGTCCACTTCCATCGACACCCTCAGGTGAAGGCAAACCCGCAGCTGTTTGCCGAATTCCAGGACAAAGGGGCAGCGAGCACCGGTCCTCATTATGCTCTCCCTGTCCCTGTCCCCGTAGATGAGTCGAGTGTCTCTGTGGACACTGAGCCTGTCCCAGTCACAGGAACCCCTTCCGTAGGGCTACCTCAAAAGCTTGCTTCAGGGCCTAACACCAAGGACATCGTGGGTGGCTCCTTGCCCAACGACATACAGCCAGGGCCTTCTCCGGAAAGCGAGGCGGGCCTTCCACTACTTGGGGTGGGAATGACGCCTAATCCCCCAAGGGCTGGGGGCTTCCAGGGCACTGGGGCCCCCGAGTCAGGGTCAGAGACCCTGAAATTGCAGCAGCTAGTGGAAAACATAGACAAAGCCACTACTGACCCCAACGAGTGTCTCATTTGTCACCGGGTCCTCAGCTGTCAGAGTTCCCTGAAGATGCATTACCGTACCCACACAGGGGAGAGACCATTCCAGTGCAAGATCTGTGGCCGGGCCTTCTCCACCAAAGGCAACCTGAAAACACACCTTGGGGTCCACCAAACCAACACAGCCGTAAAGACCCAGCATTCATGTCCCATCTGCCAGAAGAAGTTCACCAACGCCGTCATGTTACAGCAACATATCCGGATGCACATGGGTGGCCAGATCCCCAACACTCCCCTGCCAGAGAGTCCCTGTGACTTCACAGCTCCTGAGCCCATGGCCGTCGGTGAGAACGGCAGTGCCAGCAGCTTCTGCCAGGAAGACACAATGGAAGGGACGGGAGCTGAGGATGTCTGTTCCCAGGATGTCCCCAGTGGCCCCTCAACAGTCTCTGCGCCAGTTCCTAGTACCCACCTGGCGTCACCCTCCCTGGGCTTTTCAGTGATGGCGCCCCTGGATGTTCAGGGGAAAGGGGCTCTTCCCACGTTGGCCCTGCAGCGGCAGAGCAGTCGAGAAAACGGCTCCCTGGAGGGCAGTGACAGTTGCCTGACCAATGACTCTTCCTTGCTCACGGGTGACCAGGAGTGTCAGAGCCGAAGCCCAGATACCACAGAGACCATGTGCTACCAGCCAGTGTCCCCTGCCAATAGCCAAGCTGGAAGTGTCAAGTCCCGGTCTCCTGACGGTCACAAGGCTGAGGGCATCGAGAGCGGCCGCATTGACACCGAAGGTGAAGCTTTGGATTTCCCTTCATGTCCCTTTTGGGCTCAGTGTCACCAGAAAAAGAGCCTAGGTTGAATTTAACAGTGTGACCTGAAGCAGCTTCTTAAGACCAATTATCTATTCTGTTCTGGGTCTCGGGATCTAATAACTGCCTTTACCCTGGCACCCAGTAGGTTTGCTTTGTAAATAAGAACGTAGGGGCCAGGCTAGTGATTGAGAACTCATGTCACACACATGGTGATCTGAGGTAAGTTCTCCGGAACACATGTGCAAAGGCCAGGTATGCTGGGTGTGCAAGGCCACACGTGCTGCGTGTGCTTGTACCTGCTGTTGGCTGATGGGAGACAGGCTGATTCCTAGGCTCAGTGGCCTGTATCCTAGACCACTGATATTCTAGACTCGAGAGAGCTTGTCTCAAAGAGGTGAGTGATACCAGAGGAACAACACCCAAAGACTGCCCTTGGCGTGTTTGCATACATAGGTACACGCACACGCATGTGCAGAAAATTTCAAAGCAAGCGGCTATTGAAATACAATTTCTGTAAGCAAAATCTAGCAGGCCACTGTGGAGCGTTTGTTTTATTTAGACAGTAAGTTGAGTGTTAAACGATAATGGTTTGAATTTCTCCCCTTCTCCTTGTTAGGTCGTACCAGTATCCCTTCAACATTTATCCGAACACAGCCCACCTATGTCAAAGTTGAAGTACCCGGCACCTTTGTGAAAGTCGAAGTACCTGGCACCTTTGTGGGACCCACCAGCATGCCCTCAGGCATGACACCTTTGCTAGCATCTCAGCCACAGCCACAGCCACGCCGACAGGCCAAGCAACACTGCTGCACGCGGTGTGGAAAGAACTTCTCGTCTGCCAGTGCCCTGCAGATCCACGAGCGAACACACACCGGGGAAAAGCCTTTCGTATGTAACATATGCGGGCGGGCCTTCACCACGAAAGGCAACCTGAAGGTGGGTCCTGACAGGTGTTGGTGTGTGTCCTCTGTGTGCAGAGAAAACATCTATTGGTTCATGTATCTCAGACATAAATCCAGCAATGTCAGAGACAGAAGCAGGGCGATTCTCCGAGTTGGAGACCAGCTTGGTCTACATAGTAAAACTAGGTTATCCTGGAACTTGCACTGTAGACCAGGCTGGCTTCAGATCTGCCTGGAACTCGGAACTCTGACTGCTGGGATTACAGGTGTGAGCCACCAACCTGACTTCCTGTGTGTGTGTGTTCGTTCTCTCTCCCTCCCCCCTTTCTTTCTCCCCCTCCCCCCATACAAGTATTTTGCATGCTTGTGTACATGAGTTAGCTTACCATGTGAGTTCTGGGAGTTAACCTTTGTATCCTACAAGAGTAATGAGTGCTCTGAACCACTACTGCATCTCTCTAGCCCCAAATTGTGATGCTCTTGAACTTGGTGACATAAGAAAGTCTTATCAGCTGTGGTGAATCACCTTGAATCTCAGTAATCTAGAGGAGGGTACAGTTGGGGAGGTGGGGGGTGGAGGGGATTGGGGAGAGCTAGGTAGATGGCTCAGGGTTAACTTTGGTATTCTCTTTTTTTTTTTTTTTTTTTGAGATAGGGTTTCTCTGTGTAGCCCTGGCTGTCCTGGAACTCTCTCTGTAGACCAGGCTGGCCTCAAACTCCCTCCCAAGTGCTGGGATTAAAGAAGTGCGCCACCACCGCCCAGCTTGTTTGGTATTCTCGAGGGGACCTGAGCTCAGTTCTCAGCACCTATGTGAGATGGCTCACATTACTTGGTGTTAGCGAGATGCTGGTTTCATTTCCAGCACTTCCAAACAAAAACCGTAAAGATTGCACATTGGTGCTGGGTGTAGCTGGGGTGGCAGAACCTGTCTAGTATTCAGAAAAGTCTTTTATCGCCTTCTTAAACCAGCCTTGGTGGTTCCAATTCTTGGGAGGTGAAGGCAGTGGACAGGGAGAGCCAGTATTGAATGTCAGTCTCAGCTAGGAGAGGTGTCTTGTCTCTTCTGTTGTCTTGTTTTTGTTTGTTTTCTGAGACACGGTTTCTCTGTGTAGCCCTGGCTGTCCTGGAACTTGCTCTCTAGACTAGGCTGGCCAGGAAGTCAGAAATCTACCTGTCTCTTTAAAAGAAAAAAACAAAACAAAAATTAGTTGGCCAGAATTTCAGGCTAGGAGCTGAAATTGCCTTAATTTAGACGGCAGTTAATTAGTTCACTGGCTCTGCATGAAGGTCGGAAGTGCTTTTCTTGTTGAGGGGTCTGATGAGCAGGTAGGTGCCTTGGTCTTGGCAGGCAGCAGATGCAGGAAACCACTGCTTACGGAGTCTGCATTGCCTGAGAGCCTGACACCTGAGGAGGCTTTTGAATGTCAGCCAGGGGCTGGTGAGGTAGCTCAGTGGTTAAGAGCACATACTGCTCTGCAGAGGATCTGTTGCATTCCTAGCACCTGTGTCCAGTGCTTTAGCAAACATCAGCAGTCTTTGGGGACCTGATATCTCTGGCCTCCATGTGCATGTGGGCATATAACATGTGCACATGTGCATAAATGCACATAGTTTAAAAGAATAACATTTTGTTTGTTGTTGGTTTTTATTTTGGTTTTTCGAGACAGGGTTTCTCTGTGTAGCCCTAGCTGTCCTGGAACTCACTGTGTAGACCAAGCTGGCCTCCAACTCAGAAATCCACCTGCCTCTGCCTCCCAAGTGCTGGGATTAAAGGTGTGCGCCACCAACGCCCGGCTTTGGTTTTATTTTTTCTTAATCAAGGTCTTTTTCTCTTTCTGTGGCCCAGGCTGTCCTGGAACTCCCTCTGTAGACCAGGCTGGCTTTGAACTCAAGAGATCCACCTGCCTCTTTCTTATTCCTGTGTGTGCTGGGATTAAAGGTATTAGCCAGGCACACAAATATGTTCCCAATTGTACAGATACCTGAATTTATTATTTTCTGGCTTACTGATACAAGATCTGACTGTAGCCTAGGCTGCCCCTCCCACCACACTCAAGCTAGGTGACTTGGGCTTGCCTACATGCAGGGCGACCATCCTGATGAAACCCTCTCTGTGCTGTCTCCCCACACAGGTACACTACATGACTCACGGGGCCAACAATAACTCCGCCCGCCGGGGCAGGAAGCTGGCCATGGAGAACCCCATAGCAGCGCTGAGTGCTGAGGGAAAGAGAGCGCCCGAGGTGTTTCCCAAGGAGCTCCTGTCACCCACGGTGAGTGTGGACCCTGCGGCGTGGAACCAGTACACCAGCGTCCTCAATGGGGGTCTGGCCATGAAGACCAACGAGATCTCCGTGATCCAGAGCGGCGGCATCCCCACCCTGCCCGTGTCGCTGGGGGCCAGCTCCGTGGTGAGCAACGCTACGCTTTCCAAGTTCGATGGCTCCCAGACCGGCGTGGGTGCGGCCGTGAGCAGCACGGTAGAGAAGCCTGCTGTTCCCGATGGGGTGGCCAAACACCAGTTCCCTCACTTTCTGGAAGAAAATAAGATTGCAGTCAGCTAAGGAGGAAGAGGAGTCTGCTGGAGTGAGATTCTAGATCTACTTTCTTGTTTAGTTTCCTTTTAACCCATATCCTCCTTTTTTTTTCTTCCTCTTCCTGATATGCAAGTGATGTGGCTTTTGACCATAGCCTTGGGCAATCCTACAATCAGGATGGTTGCTATGCTGCTTTCCAAAAAAAAAAAAAAAAACTGAAACGGAGGAAAGGTGAAAACCAACAAAAACAAACCAAAAAAACAAAAACAGACTTTTTTTTTTTAATATTTTGGAAAGAAGCGGGTTTTGAAAACTAGTTTTGTTAACTTGGGACAGATTGTATACTAGAAGCTTTGTGTGACCTCTTGGCTGTTTCCAAAGACTGTCACCTGTTTCAAAGTGAAACAGTTGGGACTCATTGGACCACAGTGGAAGTGACAACTACTAACCCAGTCCTGGGGGTGAGGGTGCTGTGTCCTTCCGTGGTGACTAATGCGGGTAAATGTAGGGACCTGGTTTTATGCCTCCCAACCCTGTCTTCATTTTCTGTATTTTTTTTTAATGTACTTTAAGAGAAAAGGAGAAAAGAACGCCAGAAAACGAAGGTGGTTCAATTACCCCACTTCCTTCAATCTTATGCACCGACCCTAGTTCCTGGGAAAGCCCACAATTTATCCTGCTGCTTAAAGAGTTCAGAGCCCCAAAGTGCCACCACCACCACCCCGCCCCCACATCTCCCGTAAACCACCTTCTTCACAGCCCCCCCCTCCCCCCCCCCCCCCAGGTGGACAGGGGCCAGAGTGCCACCTCAGGAAATTTCACATGGTTGTCTTCAGTGCCTGCTGCATTGGAGAACTGTGTGTTTCTTTTTAGGGAGAAACTCCTAGCAGCGCCTGGAGGGTCGGTCTCCCACACGCTGTCCTCTCTGTTTATTTCCATTATCCCAAGCTCCAAAGTTCTCCACACTCTTGCCATCATGACGGTTATAGAGTTGAGACCAGCAAGTCTTGGATGTCAGGACTTTGATTTATCTACCTCAATGATCTTTATTTTTATAGTCAAAAGTCTTACTTTGCTATTTTTGTGACCACCCCAGTATTCCCAGGTCTTAAACCTAAGAGTTGTACTGGTGAGAAGGGCCCCGAAGCTCAAGAAGTCTTTGTGGTTGGTTCTGTGATTTGTTTTGTTTTTTTTTTTATTACACTTTTGTTCATGGAATAGTTTTGAACAGCTGTTGTCAGTGTTTCAGTGTTTAATGAGGAAGGAGAGACTTCTCCATTCCTGGGTAGAAAATTCTTCCTGCCGTGTTGAATGCTGTTGCCAACTGAAGATGGAGATTCTCGACCAGTGTTTCCTCTGAGTTGTTATTGCACCTGATTTTAGGATCCAAAACTTTTGTTATTTTTTTCTTTCTTCTTCTTTTTTTTTTTTTTTTTGCCAAGTCGTGCCTTTCCTTCTGGGATTGTAAGTGAACCCCGTGATAAAGCGTTCACCGGTTCGCCTGCTCACCTGTTTACACTGTGAAGTGGGTATCGTTACAGAGAACACACCAGCTTTCTCGCGCCCCGTGAATGAATGTGTGGACTACGTCATAGTTTTACCTGCTGATGCTGTTATGTCTGAAAATAAACTGAATGTTTTTTTTCCCCTCCAGCAGGATTGTGTGAGTTTTTCTGGTATTTTCTGCTTTCATAGCCCTCCTCCCCCCCCCCCCCCTAATTTTAGAGTATGATACACACATGTGGTTAGGTCCATTCTGGACCCATGGGGACATGTGTGAGGGTGACAGCGACCGGCTGATGAATTTTGGGTACATTTATATTACATTGTACATACACACCACGGATGTGTACACATGGGCTTGCAGAAGATTGCTTCCGGAGACCAAAGGATCACATGGTCAGATTCCTTCCCATTAGTGGGTTCTGGGGATCAAACTCGACCCATCAGACTTGGCAAAGGTGCTGTTACTTGCCAAGGTTGCTTTTTCTAGAACACATTTTTGTTTTAAATCTCATGTATTCAGTCTGGTCTAGAACTCACAAAGTAGGGCCCTTTAGGGTGGGTGGGGAGGTTTTTTTTGTTTTGTTTTTAATTTTTTTTTGACACACAGTCTAATTAGCACAGATTGGAGGATGATCCATTAATAATATTTAACTCTTCAGACATGGCATGATATTCACATGACAGCGACTAGGAGCTTGTGGTCCCAACCTTGCTGTGGCATTGGGGGTGGGTGGGGGACACTTAGTGTCCAAGGAACTAGTTTGTGATCTTGCATTATGTCCATATGTAAAAGGCAGCCAATCCACCCCGTTGCTTTTCTTCAGTGCTATTCCTAGGCAAGGGGCTTTGCCAGTGCAGGGAACAGGGTGGTTTTCAGAGCTGTGAAATTACCCAGTCTTTCCTAGAAACCGCTATAGGTTGTGCATTTGACCATCTGGATGATTTTGAGCAACAAGATTGCTTTTGCAGAAGAATAAAAATTGAACTGACCCGGTGTCAAGGGCCCTCAGGATTGAGGTGTGGTGACCTTGCCAGCCTGTCCGGAAGGATAGGCCCCTAGTACTTTTAGTTTTTTTTAAATTGTGAATCATGCCTCGGGGAAAACAGTCATTAGCATAGCAAACAACTAAGGATTTAAGAAATGCAACAGGGAAACACATTTTCATGCTAAAATGCATTTAACCTTTTTTTTGAGAGAAAAATGAACTTCCAAGAAATGGCTCGGTCCTATCTGCTGTCCCCACCCTACAGCCCTCAAGCTAAGCAGGGTACTTAAACTACACCCTATCTGACGTTGAAATGAATTTACAAACTGATGGGAAACACACCCGTGGGGCGGGCCCTCAGCGGGTGGGATCATCTGCATCTCCATGGTAGCCATTTATAACAAAATAGCTCAAAGCTAATTCAGGTCTAGGTTATCCTGAGCAGTGCACAGATCCTGTGACCTTCCAAAAGATCCCTCCAAGGACAGTTTCCTGTTGAATGAAGTATCTCCCATCTTACTGCCTGGACAGATCCAAGCAGGCCCTTAGAAACCGAGATGGAATTCTTCCTTGGATTCTCCTGCATTTCCTGGAACACTTTCTGGAAACAACAATTTTGTAGTTTAAAGCCAGGCGTGGGCTCACACCTATAATCCCCACACTTGAAATTGAGGAAACTAGTTGTGTACTACACCCTTCAAATATCTAATAAAACTTACAGCATTCCATATATTCAAATAGACAAATTGAGAGAAATCATACTTAAAAAGAATATTTGACCATCTATGCCACGCAGACCCCATGTTCTTCATCTATAAATATGCCTAGAGATAGGAAGTGTGTTTTGAGTATACTGAACTCATAATTCTTATCAAATGCTGGTTTCATGTTTCAGGATAACAACTGAGTACAAGTCCCTCATGCTCTGGTCAATAACTCCTTCCCCATTGTCTTCTAAATAAAGCATTCTAAATAAAGCTGAATGATTCAAGAAAAAAAAATTGAGGAAAAAGGTAAATTAAAGCCAGTGCGGGCTGCGTGATACTGAGATTGAGAATGTAGATTCTGGCGTTACACGGCTTGGCCCTAAGAGCACTGATTTCCAACAAAAAAAGAAAAAAAAAAAGAGAGAGAAAGGGATTGGGTAATTAAAAATTAAAGTAGGATTGACATGGTGTCCTAAGCCTCTGATCCTAACGTTGGGGAGGCCCAGTGAGGGCTGCACACCTTTAATCCCAGCACTTGGGACACAGAGGAAGGCAGATCTGTTGAGTTCAAGGCTATCATAGTCTACAGATCAAGTTCCAGGACAACCAGAGCTACACATAGAAACTCTGGTCTGAAAATAAGTACATGAGATTAGTTCTTACTATAGAGGCCTGGAACTGACAGAGATCTGCCTGCCTTTGTGCCCTATAAGTCTGGGATTAAAGGCATATACCACCAGGCCCTACTCAAAACCTTTTAAAAAGTTGCACTTGGTTCATTACATGTGAGTGCTCGAGGGTGTGTGTGAACCAATTGTGTGTGTGGAGGTCAGAGGGAACTCACTGGCAGCTGATCTTTTCCTCCCCACTAGATTGTGGAGATCACACTCCCTCAGGCTTGGTGGCAAAGACGTTTAACTGCTGAGCCATCTAGGTAGCTATCATTTCTTGTGCTTGTGTCTTGTGCACAGGAGTGTGTGCACATGTGTATGTGTGTCTGCTAGTGTGCACAGGTGTGTCTGCACTCGAGAGTGTGTGCATGCCTGTGCGTGTGCGCACACATGTACATGTCTTTGCAGGTGCCCATATGAATGGTGTGGGTCAGAGGATAGCTCTGTGGAGTCATTTCTCAGCTTGGGTCAGAGGATAGCCCTTTTGGAGTCTTTTCAGTCCCACCTTTCCATGGGTGTGGGACCCAGGTCACCTTGCTGCTGCCGCTAGCGCCTGAACCCCCACGTCCCCTGCCCCCTGTCTCATCATATCCCTGCCAGCACTCCCTGCTTAGATGTAAGTGAAGCAGCCTACAGCCCAGGGGTCCACCAAGAGCTTGACCCTCTGTGCTCTGAACAAAGAGGCTCAGGTATAGTCCGGTTCACACTTGTTGCCACTCACAGAGGAAGTCACGCGAGTCACATGATTTCTGGAAAGCCAGAGCTGGACCGGATCACCTTATCCAAAGGTCTTTCTAGACACCTAGGACTCAGGGACACAGAGCCCTTTGAATCAAAAGGGTTGTTTCTGTTTTTTTGAGACAGGGTTTCCTCATGTAGCTCAGGATAGCCTGGAACTCCCCAGGTAGCCCAGGAGAGCCTCCGACTCATTGCAGACCTCTGGAGTTATCCTTCAGTGTTTCTATACCACTATGTCCAGTGGGTACCAAGGCTTTAAATGTCTGTTTCCATGAGAGACTGTCTGATTAGAATGAAGACTTTAAAAAAATGTTTTTTAGGCCAGGCTTGTACTTAATTCCAGCACTAGATTGGAAAGTTGAGGCTAGCCTGGGCTACCTATGGAGACTGTATTTCACACTCAGCCACATTCTGCTGCT